GAAGTTCCTTGCCCTTCTTTCGCTGCCCTACACGTTTCACCTAAGAAGCGTAAGGGATCCCTGGAAGACCTCGTTGAAGAAAATTCATTTCCTCGACAACGATCGTACGAGCATGTTACAGCCAAGTTTGCGGAATGGCGGGCCGAATGTCGACGCGAGAAGGAAGGTTGCAAGGAAAACAAGTTGCTGCAACTACCGGCCGCAACATGCAGCATTGGGGATACGAATTTAACCGCCGTTGGCCGCGAATTTCACGAAACAGAAGCCAACTTCGAAACTCGGAATATAAGATAGACGTTTCACGATAGACATTGTCGGGAGAATTCGCAAAATATTACGCATTCGAAATAAAGAAGAAAGAAAGAAAGAAAAGAGTTGGTTTGGGATAGATTACAAATATGTAGATGTAGAGATAAAAGAATATAAATTTAAAACACACGAGAAAAGGATTTAACGCAATCCACAGTCTTGAAATTTTATTCGCGTATCAGTTCTCATTAATAAAAAAGATCAATACTTTTACAAAAATAAATTATAGATTAATTATTTATATTAAAACAAATACGACAAATGCAGATGTTGGTATTTCAATTAATACTACGTTATTGATTGTGAAATTCATAAATCAGTATTGTATCAGTATCGTAATCATCAGAATAATTAGCAAGCCTGCGATTCATGCTAGGATTGGAAACAAGAGAAACGTATAATCATATACGCGCATGCCTTTCGGTGCCCCCATAAAGTTTTAATTGCTAATTAAGTCAATGTGTGTCAGTGAGTTATACTATACTATTGAGAATGTGCCGCCTCGCAGACCTAATTCAACAGCAATTAGTTGCGTGTCACGTACCGCGCGTCTGATATATAATACGCGCTTCCTAAATGATTATGACAATTTTGATATATATATTTTTTAATCTAATGTTAGTCTTTAATCTTACTTCAGCAAACTAGATAGATGTAAGAACGTTGAGAAGCGCGCACTACAATATCATATAAGAAAAAGATATTTATAGTTACATTTTTTATGCAAAAATATATTACATGACAAATGTGTATCGTTCAATATCAGCATATCTTCAGTATAACGAAGAAAAAGATTGATATTCAATCTTAATTCAATTCTAATTGATATTAAATTTTGACAAATTTGTATCGTCCCGCGTTGTATACATACAGTGAATGTGCAAATCAACATCGAATAAATTATCCTCATCGGTAGTATTTCCCAATATTTTTCATCGTATATGCATTCACACAGATTTACGCTGATAGTAGTGTACGTCGACGAATTAATTGAATTAAATCGCCCGCAGTTTAATATTCATTTCATGCCTTATAGAGATGCCGCGAAGCTCGCAATTCGTATAAATTGCAGTGCCTTCAAAAAGCAATTTCATTTTGTACGTGAAGTTACCACGGAATATGAAAGCAGGCTATCTCCTCCCGACAACCCTCTCAATTAGGAACCTAACTCTCGCAGAAATTATTACGTCAGAAAATATTTGGAACGACGTAATACCGGAATTACTACATGAGCCGCGATGTAGAAAGCAAATTTTGTCAAAAAGTCAGATCTTTCGACTTACCGCGATGCGTCCAAAAATCCCTGCGTCTCTCATCGCATAGCTTGTCGCGATTAGAATTTTCTGTAAAAGAAAGCAAGATTTGGCACATGAGAATACGCGAAGTCAAACTATGCAAATTGATTTGTTTAATAAAAGAGAGGATATATGTATCTACAATTATCTCTCCTGTATAATCTACTTATTTTATATACAATTTGATGTTTTTTTATTAGATTTAATTAATTATTTATATTATTAAACCATTGCATTAGTTGCCTATATCTGTAATCGATAGTAGTAGCTTGTGCGAGAAGAGCGCGAGTAATTTTTAACGCGGCGCACAAGATTTTGCCGTTATGCATATTAAATTCTACAAAAAAAAGGAGAGAAGTATAAAGAGAACGCCGCCCGTGCTTGCAATAACCCTCGTAATTACGCGCTTAAATCACTGTCGGCGAAGTTATTGCAGCGGAATACTTTCCGCGCGGCCGAATGCGCTAGCATGGATGCTAGCGTAGAATGCTCGAATTCTGGCAGAGCGTCAGGTTATCCAACTTTCCGCAATCCTGACAAATTTCTTCTTCTCTCTCCTCCCTCTCCTCCCCGCCTTTCCGATTTCACTTCGTATACCCTGAGTAAGCGTGTCATTTCTGATTCTTCACGAAAATCGATGATGCGGCTACTTTCGCGATGTTTGAAACTTCAGAAAAAAAATATTTAATCTTCCACGTACATAAAGCGGAAGAATTCGAGAATAATGTGAGGTATGCTATATAAACGAAAATCGTATCACAAATGAATTACCTAAATTACATACGTCAGAATATATTCGAAACTATTAATTGGAATTATCATTAAGATAAAAGCGGAAACACTAGCTATGTAATAAGTTTGCTGAAATCTTTATCAAGTAAATAATAACAGGATTTTTTTTACTTCCATTATAATTCTTAAAAAATTTCCGATATCAATAGATTTTATAAGAATTTTCTAATTAAAAAATAAAATTTTCCTCTCGTATGATTTTTAATATGCTGTCGATTCTATTAAAGTATAATGTCTTAACAACATAATCCTGTTGTTTCGCTTTAATAACTGCATCTTGCAAGCTCTTTTTTTAATTCCGAATAAAATTTAGTGCGGGAATTCTCATTGCAAAAACGAAATTTCATAGAAGGAAATCTCCACGAAATAATCGGCACTGTTACAAGCTTAATGTGCGACAAAATTATCTGCGGCGACACATGCTCGCAAACGCGTCTCGATTTCGAACAGCATGCTTTTCCGCAATCTCTCGAAAATTTTCCTACACTTGTACGTTTCACGTGGTGCTCTCAGATGCTGCGGCTCTTTTACATTTCCCACGTTCCGTTCGTTCGCATTTTACTCGAACAGACGGCGATATCGACGGCGACGCCGATGGCGCCGGTCGGAGATTCCTGAGCCGGAAATTCTGGGTTTTAAATGCACCCAGGATATTTCGAGGGCGGAAGGCATTAATGGACCATATCCCGGGATAGAGCTGCACCAACGTTGCAATGTGCGACCTCGGACAACGGAGGTGAATGTTTAATTGAGCATTTGGTCGCGCCCGCCCGAACGCGAATGTCTCTCATAATCCGGCGTGCCAATTAACGCTATTAGAGACATCGAGCGCACCGGCACACACGGCCGATAGCGATAAATCCGGTAATTGATTATGGATCGGCACACATGTGCGGCAGTCCATATCGAAAGGACCGCGAAAAATCGGACACTCACGATTGCAGTGGCAAATTGCTGTTAGCGAATGCGATAAGAATTATTTACAATAATCTCTCTAAAAAGATTGTTGTAGAAATAAAAAATTTAATATTACGAAAAAAAAGATTTATAGCGTTTAGTTAAACATATATTGAATGACGGAAGAGACAAAAGATATATATTTTTTTCAATTTACAAGGAAGATATACATTTATTTTATAATTGTTCCTAAATGCAATCTTACAAGAAAATATAGACAGAGAGTATCCTGTTAAAAATATAGCTTTGATATTGCATAAAATTATATTAAATGTTGTTCGAATAATAAGCTATGCAACCTTTGTTTACAAGTCACACGATACAAATCATGTTACTTGGAAAGCATAACAGTTACCACATTTGATCTAATTATTAGTCCACCGTACGATTAATTACCCAGGGAATTATGGCTCTTGGCTATTGTTCCATACATAATCACAGTATTATATATCACAAACGCGAGTAAAATTCATTAATTTTTCGGTTCGGCGATCGCGAATGCAACCATTTCAATCGATTCTGCCGTAATTGTATTCGTCACGTAAAGTGAATATACAAAGTTCTTGCTCCAATTATTGCTCCCGATTTTCCAGTCTACATAACTATTCTTTTATACCGAAAATACGCAGTTGTTCATTACATAATTCGTGTGTTATCGTAACAGGGAAGTATTCGCGGTACCCGCAAAAGAGTCGATATCTCTACGTGGGCTGACGCGCTTCCTCGTTTAATCGCGAACGAGGAGAGTCACGTGCCCGAGCTAATTGAAAATTAATTCTCTTCGTGCTGAAACGACGCAGTCGCGAAAACGTGCAAAACTTATCCCGGGTTCGTCGCCGGTCGGCCGGAAATTGTTTCAGCAAAGTGGATTCAAATCGGATTGCAACGCGAGGAAAAAGCGCGAGTGAGAAAAGATACAAGCTAGTCAAAATTTTCCACCTACATAGATAACACAAGAAAGTAAAATTCGACGCAATGTCATTATTTAATATTCATCCTCGACATATACAGACTCGCTAAATTATTTATCTGAATTTGATTTATTTGTTGGGATCATTTTCTTTTTGCTCTTATCGTTAACAGCTCGCAACCTATTACTCAAGAGTTAAGTTTTTTGTAAAACTATTTTAATCAATTATAAATTATTTATTAAATTATTTATTAAATTATTAGTAAGTACACCGTTTATATTACATTATCATTCGCTTCTTTTAGGTGGCTACATTAAACACATATATTTCATTTATTTTCTTGATTTTTAGCTCATTATAATGTTTAGTTCTTACTTAATCTTTGAATATTAATTTGCGCTTATGAGTGCACGTTGATAATGTGTGCCTAATGCAACTTGTGACTTAAGAAAACATCTAGTTGGGGGAGAGAAAGCGGGGGGAAAGGTTGATACGCACCCGGAAAATTCATGTCGCGTCGCATTTGCGCGACTCGCGGCTTGCAAAGTGAGAAAACCCACTCTTTCTCCCCTTGTTCCATTTTCTCGACGAGGATAGAACGAACGAACGAACGAACGGCACGGGCGCGGAGAACTCCGGGTAATAGTCGAAAGTTTATAGAGTCTAACCGGAGGAAAGTAACTGGTTTATGGGAAAACTTTCACCACGTTCTCACACGGAAAATTTACGTTCGCAGTGCTTCCGGAGGGCAAACCGGAAATCACAGGCCTGTCCCAGAACTACGCCGTCGGTGAGAACGTGACTGCCACCTGCATCACCTGGCCATCCGTGCCTAAGGCCAATCTACATTGGACCATCAACGACGATCCGGTAAAGTACCCCTTCACTTCCTTCGTACGAGCCAACTTCCCCGAGGCCGCATCTGTGTATTGCATCGGCGACGTGAACGCGTTTGCCCGATCGCGTGAAATGACCTCATGTGTTCTTTCAAATGAGAGAGTCAAAAATAGAGATTTGTCTTATTTTGAGAAATTGGAAATAGCAATGGAGCTATACTTTTAGCTATATTTTTTTATATCTTCTGTGTTAAACATGAAATTAATATGTATCTATGAGAAGGCCTTAAATAGAAAAGCACAAAAACCCAATTATGGGAAAGTGTAGAAAGTATAGTTTAAAACATTGTGACCTCTTTTGCTGAAACTCAATCTATAAAAGCGTACAAACTCGATACCCCAATATTGGAAAAATTACAATTAAAATGAGAAAAAATTTAAGGCACGTAAAAAGTAAACTCTAAAATAAAGGAAAACTTAACATTGATTATTCGAATGATCATGTTCCACGAGTTATCTTTAAAAAAAGTTTATTTAATTATATGCTCAAAACATAATATTTCACTAAAATATTTAAAATTCTCGTGTTAAGTATAGTTTTCTGATAACATAATTGAACTTCGCGTCACGTTTCTGTGTAGGAAAAATCGGCTTCAGTCTCGCCGATGGATCTGTTGTTAACGGGAAAGCTGAAACACCCTATACACCTATACGCGATGAAATTGATTTGATAGGTACACGCGTATACACTCCGATCTCGCCGATAAGCTGCTTTCACGGCGGAATCTGATTTCGCGTAAAGCGATAGTGTCCGCGTACGAGGACCGACACGGCAAGGAAAGCGCGTTGTCGAGAGAAAAACTTGTTTTCTTCCGTAACGGTAAAGTCAAGCCCGAGGCTAATCCCGGGCCTGATTAGTATATTTGTCATTTCGCGCAATGGATTCAAGAGCGCTCGACTTTCGAGAGAATTTTACCTCGTCCGGTCTCTGACGAGATGAACGATCTGGGAAAATTCAACTGCCACATGTTCGAAATCCTATGCGAAATTTGCATCGCTGCGAGCAGCAGAAATTTAAACTCATGATAATTTTGGATTCTTTTTTTTTTCTTAATTTCGACGTGTAAATTCAATTCATTTTCACAATTTGCACGAACCTAGATTTTTTACTTCACTTAAACACAATCTTTTTAATTATAATACATTTTTTCATATATGAATACGATTACATACAGACATATTTTTACATGCATGGAATACTGTAAAAAATAATCATTCTGGAATTAAATCGAATTCAAACCTCGCTATGGAGGTTCTTTTCATGAGGCAGATTAAAATTTATGCGAAGTGGATTTAAATTTATTCATTTTTCGGATGCGTAAAATGTATACGTATATGCGCGTATGCTTCATACGTTAATGATTACAATACAAGGTGTATGTGTTTTTGTTTTTTAACAAATTTTTCATAGTGCCACGATAACTTTATGTTCGTGCGCACATTATGATTAAATTATAATTTTTAATTTAAATTCTCCACGAGCGAGCTACGAAATAATATAATAAACGAATATTGCCTATATAGTAGTCGTTCATTAAAGTATACTGGATATAACAAAATTAGTGAGCCAAAACGTGCAGTATCCTTTGATCAATTTAAAGTCAATTTTATTTTAACAAAAATTCGATTGATCTCTCGTCGTATTCTTTTGTAATTTTTTTTAAGTCTCGAGATCAAACATTTAAGTTATTCGGAACAGCATCTCAAATAAAAATTTTCCTATGCCAAAGTCAATTTGAAATTAAATGAACAAGAAAATTTTATTAAACATTTGCGTTTTCTGAAGCCCCCTTTATTTCTTTCTGCTTTCTAAATTTTCAAGTCGCAATTTCAAAGTTGAATTTTTTCACATTATCGCCTCTTACATATCGTGAGGGAATAGTCAGTGCACGCAATTTTCCGCTTCATTATGTGTTTGCAACTGAAAAATATTAATACCGGGAAGAGAAAATGTTACCGGGAACAACGCGAAGCGTAGTAATATTCGCGGAATACTCCGGCGTAAGAGAAAAAACGGACGGTTTGCTGAACGAGCTCGGCGTAACGTAAAAGATTGTCGTGCAATGTGCAAAATGTGTTCCTCAGAAAAGCGTAATTTCGCGCCAAATTGATCGCCGTCGTCGGAGCCAAAGCAAATCTCCGTTGAACCGTCAACAAAGCGGCGGGCAAAGTACATTTCCCTCCTTTCGCCCGGAGCGCTCTCGGTACTTTGATTGTCGCGGGCGTACCTGTAAATTAGAACGAACTGCGCGCCTCGAGAAAAACGGCAAATTGCTCGCAGCATCGCTCACATTTTGTATGCAGGTCGATTAACCCTCGCGAGACCAAGTTCTAGATTGTAATACGACGGATTACAGCTAGTTTAATTATCCTACTATCATCCGAAAGTATGTTTCTTTATGAGATGCTGGACTTTTTTTTCTGTAATTAAGATATTTCTTTTTCAATATGTTATTGATAGCTTCAATTGTTAAAGCAATTATTAAATGGATTAAGAAATAAAGTTTATACAACTTTAAAGCTTAAGTGTAAGCTACTTTAAATTTTTCTTAAAGCTAAAGATAAAATGCTAGAGATAAAAAAAATATTTGTATTATAATTTAGAAAACAATGCATTTATTAAACAAATATTAATACTAGTTAAGTTAATAATCATTAATAATGATAAGTAACGCCTCTATTTGTCGGTGAATGATAAGCTATGTGTTTTATGAATAATAATTGTTCTATTATGCTACAAGATTTTATATTTAATTTAATTATTGGTAACATGTACATATGGATACATAAACACGATATACATGTTTACGAGTTTATTGCAATGGCATTTTATTTTTCCGACAGTAAAAGAAAACTCCATTGCAAGTTTTTATTGCATCTTTTTTTATCTCTTCCTTCCGTACAATCGATGTAAATTTTGTTGAGTCCATTCGCGCAAGTGATTGAGCGAAGTATACAAAGTTGGCGACACGCTTCTGATAAGTTCTCTTTCATCTACTTCATTCCTTCGTCCGATCGATCTCATTTTGCAATCGTACACGGTATTACTTTGCGAATAATTCGAGTTTACGATTTCGTAGGGATGGGTTGATCGATCTGGATTTTATCGTTCTCATTCGATGCGAAAAAATGCATAAAGAAAATTGAGGCTTTTTCATATATCTCATGTATATATCGATCGATCGTGAATTACACGCACATCCTGCCGGTCTGCATTTGTTACTCGAATTTTATTTTGCGAGCGCTCAATATAAGTTCGCAAATATTACGAATTTACGATACCTGTATAAAATAAAAGAAAGGTATCGATGTGAACGAACTTTATCGCTCGTCCGAATGAGAAAAAGTGGAAACAAGATTTTTTTGCATCCTCCCGCAGAGCACGATGGATAGATCGTAAGTCATCCGGCATTGTACGATAAAGCCAGCCGACACAATGGCTGGGTGCGTGCCTTTTTATTAACATACGAGCCGAAACTACGATCGCGGTCGATATAGTGACATATGGCAGCGCTGAAAACCGCCCAGACGCCACTTTTTACACGTAATGGCTCGAATCCTACGTCGATCGCACGTCTTTTTTTTCCCTGATGCAGAGTGATATACGGGCGGCTGGCATTGGCGAGATGGGAATTTAATGCGAGCCCATATTTGAATGATACGACGCTTTTTCAGCGACTAGCGCGAGAGATGGTAATAGTCTTTCTTTATTATTACGCTTCTCTCCTACGCGGACAAGTTTCGGCCATTTTTCAAACGAATTGCTCTAAAGTCGCGCGAAAAGTTTCTGACGATCCCGAATAATTTCTCTGATTCGATTCGGACCAATCCGTAAAATGATTTATTATATTCTTATTTGCGTAACAATACAATGAAATAATTAAATTATTATCCTACTAGTCATTTTCTTCCAATAACCGCTAATTTTTTATTGTTGAACATATTTATTGTTAATATTGCTTTTTTTAATCAATACGTTAATATTTTTCTGGAATTATAAAACATGATTAATTTTACGTGCAAGATTTTATATAATATTAAAGAGTGTAGTGCAACATTTGTTTTTCTTTATGTTTCTCTTTTCCCTTGCACGTAATCTCTTTGAGGAACAATTTATGCTCTTTGCCGAACGCATTTGAACCCGTAATAAAATGAGCGTCTTTATGTGAAAGGGGATCCGTACTTGAACGTGATCCCGAAGAAATCTCGTAAAGTCGTTTGCCGGTCGTGAATTCTAGGATTCTCGCGAATTTCATATGAAGCGCCACAGATATAACGTCAAGACACATTTTGAAGGAACTACAACGAATCATTCGCGAGAGATGTAGCAAAAATTGAACAGAGTTAAAGAGTCCTTTCTTTGCCAGGATACGAATGAAGCAAACCTCGCTTTTCGGACAATTTCCCGAATTATTGGAAAAATCTCTCTCGGAAACTTATATCCCATCTTTGGGAAAGGATGCGATCGTAATGCTGCTCGTTCCCCCACGTTTTTTCCTTTCTCCTCTCCTCCCCCTGCCCTCTTGCTCCTCATCATTGCCGGAGGGCTCACGCACTTCAAGATTCTTGAACAGACTCATCGTAAAGGGACGCCGTCGTTCATGCTCCAAAGTTATCAGGAATTCTCTTAGAACGTCATTAAAATTCACATGGAATCCGCAGCGCTTCGAATTTAAATTATCTCATTTTGGGACATACGTCTAAAAACCTCACGTAGAACGTGCGCGTCGAGAACAGTCTTATCGTATATCAGTTCTGCAATATGCTATGAGAATTTTCTTGGTGAATTTTCAGAGATATACGTTTTAGAATGAAACAATTAAAATTCTTTATATATAAATATCTATTCTTTTTTAAGAGAAGGAGTATATCGCGAAGATGAGTTCGATATTATACTCCCCTTTAATAAATAGCAAATTTCTCAAAAATTACCAAAACAATTTTTCACGATTACGAAAAAGATGGACACACACC